AAGAGAAGGCTGAGGGGGGATCTTGTGGCCTGTTATAAACTAGTCAGGGGGGATCAGCAGGCATTGGGGAAGTCCCTGTTCTCCCGAGCACCACCAGGAGTGACCAGGAATAATGGTCACAAGCTGGCAGAGGGTAGGTTTAGGCTAGATATCAGGAGGTGCTACTTCACGGTCAGGGAGGCTAGGATCTGGAACTAACTTCCAAGAGAAGTGGTGCAGGCTCCTACCCTGGGGGTTTTTAAGAGGAGGTTAGATGAACACCCTGCTGGGGTCGTTTGACCCCAGTACTCTTTCCTGCCATGGCAAGGGGTCGGACTAGATGATCTACTCAGGTCCCTTCCAACCCTAGAAACTATGAAACTATGAATTCTTCAGAATGAAAGCTTTTGATTGACTTAAAAGATTTTTTTTTCATTATTGCCCAGGAAGTTTTGAATTTTTGGTTTGTTTTGTTTTTCCTCAAGTTGGGAAATCATATTTTCCCTGCAATGGATATTTCTAGTTCCCATATGCAGCACTACACATATGTATATCCTCCTGGACTACACTTAGAACTGTGTGTCTCTGTGGTTATAAAATGTTCACATCTGGATCCTAATCCAAACAAAGTGGCTAAGACCATCTGTAATTAAACTTTACAGTGCTATAGTTTGTTTTCTAATACTTTGAATTGAATGTTAAACATGGGCACAGATATGTTACCTAAAACTTTTATTTGGGTCTAGACATACAAGTTCCCCTTCTACCTATGCAAATGCAAACATAACCATTTAAACACAGGATTTCAACATTTCAGTAGCATTTCCACATTTGGAAACTGGTCCTGGTATGTCACTTATATTTATGAGTTAAGAGATGATGTCACAGTATATAATCTGCATGGCCAGGAGTGTTTTGTGACAAGTCATTCCCTAACAACTAAAGATTGAATACCGTGCCTGGAATGTATGTCTTTGATGTACTGTTTATAGAACAGAAATATTAAAAATGCAAGAGACCTGTCACTCAAAAAGCAGAGAACATCCAGAGTGTTGAAATGAATGGGTGGTGATGCACAGTTTGTAGACATAAGCATTTGTTTAATTACCTACTTAGTTTACTACTACGGAACACTACACAGAGTATCATAGCTAATGAGATTTGTCAGAGGAAATGATGAACCACTACACCCTGAAAATGGAGGTAGTTCTCCTCAGACCTTTAGTCACTGCGTATGAAAGGTAGAAATGTATAGGCCTATTAAATGGCTAATGCAATCACTGTGATAATGCAATAAACTAACCTAGAGCTTCAGCCACTAATAAAAGTGGTTTTGAAGCTAAGAAATTATATGGATGGGGGAGTCTTGTTGGAGGTATTGTATGTCTCCCAGGAGAAGAAATCTTGGCAATGTTCCCTGTGTTGGGTTTCCTCGAAATTCTTCCACTGGTCAAAAAACACTATTATGATTATTATTTTTATGATTATTATTATCGTTGTTGTTGTTTACAAACATGGCCTTTTCCAAAAACAGATGTCTCCATCAGAAAATTCCCAATTTTGGTTAAAAAGTTATGGGTTTTTGGCAAGAGACCACTGATTTTTTTCTCCTTTAAAAAAATTTTTTTTTTCAGAAGCTTGAAAACCTCAGTGAAGGATGTGAAATGGAAATGATGATTCTTTCACTTGTTTTTATATATATATATATAGAGAGAGAGAGAGAGAGAGAGAGAGAGAGTGGGGTGGGGGGACTAGGTACAGACCTTCAAAAATCTCAAGGCAGAATTGTACTAAGTTACATGGTTTTCTGTAAGTGGTGTAGTTTAGATTGGTAGAGAACCGAAAATACATTTGCCCTATGTTGGGAGAGAAGGGAAATCATATATTCCAGCATTCTTAAGCCAGTCTATATGGGCTGAACTTCTGTTCCTGGTATAGACCGGTTTCCGATCACTTATGCCGATAAAATTGTAATGTCTATATGTGGCCCTAATCAATTTTTATTTCAAACAGCTTTAGGTTCCAGCCTGAGATGACTGCAGATCCACTAGGAAAAAAAATGTCAGGGGGGAATAGAGTTTGCTATTTATACACCTGAAAGTACCTCTACACAGAGTGAAAACAGCCTTCCAGTTTCCTACCCAAGCAGTCACGCTCAAAGTAGAAATGGTGAAAATTATTATGCAGAGCTGGGGATCTATAATATTTTCTGCTGGGTCTCCTCACCTTGTCCATTTGTTCTGATGTCATGACTGATATTAGCATAATGGCTGCACTTTCGCCATTTACAGAATTAATTTGCCTGAGTGGCTGAAGTTGCAGCTTTCCTGCTCTGGTTAACACACACACTGGGTTTGTAACCATGTGCCGTAAATTCTACTCTGGATGCTGTTTGTATGTGGTTATCTGGCAACTGCTGCCTTTGTATTTATGTGATCACACATTACCCTGGGCAGTGGTTTCTTAGAGCGGAAGGGAAAGTGATGCATCTGAGAGTGGGCAAAGAGAACAAAGCCTCTCTCAAATATAT